TCCTTCAGAGAAGTCCCCATCCTGTCCTCTGAGACACTGAACATGACCGTATGGTAATTAACCCCCTTTGCTAATTAACCCTTCCTGGGTCAGACAAAATGACTCCTTACAGGATTTACCTCCTGCTGGTAATCAATTCTCCTTCCTAAGAAAAATAGACTTTGTGTTTCAAAAAGTCTATATCAAAGAAAGTTCTGGTACTTTCTGCAAGTTACTCAACTCTCAGTTCCTGTCTCAGCCAAGGCGATGCCTCTGTAATCTGCATTCAACAGTTGAACAGAACTTTGCCATACCCTAAGGACACAAGAAGTGTTCGTTTCTATGACAACACTCTGATTACAGGATGTTATGATAATTCCCAAGGTTCCTGGAGAACAGTAGTCTTAAAACAGTATTGTATGGCCACCACACCAGCAATGGGACTTGGTCAATTGGACAGAGCTTCAAACAGACCACCTGTTTTGTACCTGCATTGTGTGGAAAAACCCAGATGTGAATCTGTGAAGAAAACTATGTTACTGGGCAAACAAAGAAGTCTGTGTTTTCCCTCTAAACTTTGAGAGGAGTTATAATCAAAATTAATTTATGCAATTAAGTTAACACCCATTTTGCTAGTCAGAGTTGCGTTGATTGGATACAGTTTGCATAGACACCCCCCTTTTATTGTCGGGTAGAACTCAGGGTCTCGTCAGAGTCATGTTGCTTTCTCAAGTTGGCTTCCAGCTGTTGTGAGCCAGGGCCCTCCAGTCTTCCATCTGGATGGAGCCAACCGGCTGAAATGTGGAGAAAGTCCACGGAACTCCCTCAGACACCCCGGAACGATAGTGCTGCTTTGCCAAGGAAATGTTGTTCAAGAAAGAATCCTCACTTCCTGGGATGACGAACACCGGCCCTTTCACCTCGTATCCACCTGGTAATGAGGACGTCTTCTGGTAGGACAAGCTATCTTCCTCCTGATGAAAGGCGATGTTAGACTCTGTGCCGACCAGTTTTTAGACACTTTTAACTTGCCCAACTAATCTCAGTTTACCTAACTTTTAAACATTAGTTGAAATTTAGATAACATCTCAAAGTTTAAGCTCTTTATATTATTCACCCTTCTTTGATAACATTACTGGTTATTCAATCATTTTTCATATTTTCCATAAATTCATACTATTAGTATTTACAAACTGAAAACAAACGTTATAGAATTTTGTGGCTTAACTAACCGGATTTTGTGTTTTAATTCAAGTGAGGGGGAACACAGCATTGCTAAGCATTCACCTTTTTTTTTAATTGAGGTCAGTCCATATTTATTACATAACTTTTGAACTTTTAGGGTAAACACCTGTTAAGATGTATTGTTGGGGGGGGGGGGGAAGAGAAGCTGAATTAAGCAAAAGATCGCTGACAGAAATATGCTTAAACTACCAAAAGGAAATGGATGGAGCTGAAATGAGCACACAAAAAATGTGGAATTAGCCGAAAAAGCTAAATTTAGCAAAAAAAACAGCTGAAACTAGCAGAAAAAAAAATTAGATGCAAACTGAAATTAGCAGAAAAAAGTTTAATTGGGCTAAAAGTAGCGGAAATTACTACCACGAAAACTTAAATTTATTTGAAAACAGCTGAAATTGGATAAAAATGCTAAAAAGGTAGCTGAACAACAGAGCAGGAAAACTTAAATTAGTAGAAGAAAGCAGAAAGAACATTGTTCAATTATGCTGAAAAAAGCAGAAATGAGCACAAAGAAGTTGAAATTTTCAGAAAAAAAACTTAAATTAGCCAAAAAGAAAAAAAAAAAAAAACTGCTGAAAAGAAATTACAAAGCAGAGAAAAGCTTAAATTACCAGGAGGTGGAGAGAGTACTTTTATTTATTTATTTATTTATTTGCTGAATTGGGTTGATAAAAACTGAATATTAACAATAGCTGAAAAAGCTTAAATTAGCATAAATACAGCTACATAGTAGCTGAAATGGTAGAAAAGACTGAAACTTGCCAAAATAAGCGGAAAGGAGCACAACAGGCTGAAATTAGCAGAAAATTGAAGACGCACAAAAATGTTTAGCAGAAAGAATCTGAAAGGAGCACAAAATAGCTGGAACACCCCCCCCCCCCCCCCCC